TGGCTGTGTGACTTGGGGCGCACACACTGCTTTCTTCTCTGAGCCTCGGGACACCCTCCTGGCATGCTTGCTTGTCTGCTCCCTCCTCTGTGCAAGGCACTGTACACGGCAGATTCAGGAGTGAAGAGAATAGGCAAGTTTCCCTGCTTTAATGGAGGTTACAGTCTGGTGGGTTAAATATAGAATTCAGTGAGGCCATGAGAATAAATTGCTTCCCTTAGAGCCCAGCCTGCAGAAACCGAGAGCTGTGGTGACTATAATTAGAGCAAATGAGCTTTAGCCTCCCCAACCCTGACTTGCTGAGCGACCTTGGGCAAGTCCATTCACCTTTCTGAGGCCCAGTTTCCTCTTCTTGAAAATGTCTCTAGATCTGATGACTTTGAGATTCTACCCCCCTTCCCATGTCCAGGCCAACTCCATCACCGGGGTTTGAGCCCTAGTCTACAGAGACAGCCTTGGTGTCATTGGCTTCCCCGGTCCTGGGTCCCCGGAGAATTAAACAAAAAGGATTAAGGACATCTAACCACTGAGAACTTGGGTCATAGATCTGAGGTGGAGCTGTGATTGGAGCTGAGGGAGGAGGCAGAGACTCGGGACCCCCGCCTTATGACTTGTGACTCTTCCACTTCAGTAGGCCCCTGCAGAAGGGCAGCCACCCCATGTGCAAGGAGCATGAAGACGAGAAGATCAACATCTACTGCCTCACGTGTGAGATGCCCACATGCTCCATGTGCAAGGTGTTCGGAGCCCACCAGGCCTGTGAGGTGGCCCCACTGCAGAGTGTCTTCCAGGGACAAAAGGTACTGGCCTGAGCCACTTCCACCCCCAGCCTGGGCCTGTTGGGCATGACCCCATGATTCAGGCTGTGGATTTGATCCCTGCAGATCTGCTGAGCCGGCCTTTCAATAATGGTCCCTCTGAAGGGACTTCCCAGGCTGCAGGGACAGCAGTTCTTGCCTTCCTGGGGGAGGTGGCTGAGCTCATGGGTTATACTTAGAGCCACTTGAGAGCACCTGGGTGTGGCCACAGGGGAGAGACCAGACCCCAGGGCCAGGCCACCAGGGAACGTCTCAGGCCATGAATTCTACATCCCAGTGTGCTCTGGGTCCCGGTCCTCTCCTCTGGACCGAGGCCCTCCTCTTGGACCGAGCTTCGGGAGGGATGCACATGGATCGGTGAGGGAGGAGGGGGACACCCATCTAGCCAGCCAGATCAGCCGAATCAACACTGGCGATCAATGAGATGACAGATGTCGCAGCCAGATAGCCCTCACCTCTGATCTCTCTCTTTTAGAACTCCCAACTATATTTCTTTTCTTCATCCCTCCCTTCTTAGAAACAAGCCACTCCTCTACCAGTACCTTGCTGTGTATTTTAAGCAGCTCACTTCCCCTCTCTGTGCTTCATCTATAAAATAAAGGAAACAGTATCTGCTATTCCCTGCTCTGGGCCTCAGAAAGAGGGGCCAGACAGCGACTGCAGGCTCTTCCTAGCAGAGAGGGAGTGAGGGTGCCGTTGTGCTGCCAAACCCCAAGAGGGCAGGCCCGGAGACTATTTCTGTCTCTCCTCTCCTGACCCCCACCCCTCCTCCCATCCAGACTGAACTGAGTAACTGTATCTCCATGCTGGTGGCGGGGAACGACCGAGTGCAGACCATCATCACGCAGCTGGAGGACTCCAGTCGAGTGACCAAGGTGAGGGGACAGAGTAGCTCTGCCTGGGGGTTTGAAGCCTCCAGTGCAGCCTGGGGCACAGGCTCACCCATGGCTGGTGACTCAGGGTTGGGGCCTGGAGTAGGGTGTTCAAGCAGGAATGGTGAGGAGGGACGGACTAGTACACTTAATTCACTAATCCATTAATTCATTATACATTGATCCATTAATCCACTCATTCAACAAATGTTTCTTGAGCACAGCTGTGTCAGCCCCTTCCAAAGGCTCTGGGGATGGGGTGGTGAACAAGACAGACCCCTATCCCACCAATAATTCCCAGTATTCTTTTGTTAGCATTGGTAGTTTTTATTTTTTTAATTGATTTTTAAAGAGAGAGGGAGCGAGAGAGAGAAACATCGATGTGAGAGAGAAACATGGATCAGCTGCCTCCTACATGCCCCCTACCGGGGATCAAGCCCGCAACCGGGCATGTGCCCTGGCCAGGAATGGAACCAGCAACTGTACTAAGCATGAGACGACGCCCAAGCAACCAATCCCCACCTGCCAGGGTCAGCATTGGTAGTGTTTAGGCCATTGTTCTCTGGTGTGCTATAGACCAAGGCTTCAGACCTTAAAGTACATACAGATCACCCTGGGATCTTGTTAAAATTTAAGTTTTGATTCAGTAGGTCTGGAATGAGGCATGCGATTCTGCTTTTCTAACAAGTTCTCAGGGTTTGCCCAAGTTGCTGGTCCATGGACCACACGTTGAGTAGCAAGACCGTAGAGGCAGAAGGAAACTTCTATTTCTGCAAAAACATCTGTGATTTTTCTTCACTTGGGATGGGGCCCTGGAAATCACACGGGGGGAGGGATCATTGTATTGTTGATAGACAAAAAGGGTGTGTTAGATAGGTTCGAAGGAAGGAAGGGGACATTGTTACCACCCGTGATGGGACTCCCAGACTGATAAGTAATGCTGGAACCCGAGTCTGATGAGATGCTATTATTATACCCATTTTACAGATAAGAAACTGAGAACCAAATGATGCAGAGCTTCTTGAATCCAGTCTTGGTCCTAAAATGGGGGGAAGAGCATGATTTGGAGACACACAGGAGGGCCAGAATATATATCATTTCATTTGACCCTAGAGTCTCTGTTTTTTGAGGCAGGGGATTGCTTTCTCCATGACACCAGACTCCAAACATGTACCGAGTAGCTATGAAAACTTAGCAAGGGCTTTCTTCTTACTAAGCCTTCATTTCATCTTGTGTACAATGAAGGTGTAGTAAGACCTTTTCCAGCTTTTAAAAAATAAAATTTTAAATTAATTTTTAGAGAGAGACAAACATCGATCGGCTGCCTCCTGCACGCCCCCCTGCTGGGGATGGAGCCCACAACCCGGGCGTGTGTCCTGACCAGGAATTGAACGGTGACCTCCTGGTTCATAGGCCTATGCTCAACCACCGAGCCACACCAGCCAGGGCAGACCTCTTCTGGCTTTAGAGCCTTTGTTCCTAATACATCCATCCTAGAAAGGAAGTGCTGGGGATAGGGAGGACCCCACAGGATGTGACTCCCAGATGTGTGTCCCCAGGAAAACAGCCACCAGGTGAAGGAAGAGCTGAGCCAGAAGTTTGACGTGCTGTATGCCATCCTGGATGAGAAGAAGAGTGAGTTGCTACAGCGGATCACGCAGGAGCAGGAGGAGAAGCTCAGCTTCATTGAGGCCCTCATCCAGCAGTACCGGGAGCAGCTGGACAAGTCCACCAAGCTGGTGGAGACAGCCATCCAGTCTCTGGACGAGCCTGGTGGAGCCATCTTCCTCTTGGTGAGCAGGACTAGGAGGGTGTGGGCAGAATCACTTCAACTCAACCGCTCTGTCTACAGTTCAAGTCATGCTCCTCCACTGACCATCCATATGCCCTTGGGCAAGTCGCTGAAACCTCTCTGAGGCCCATTTTCCTCTTCTGTAAAAGGAGCCTGAGACAATCCCTACTTAAACCTATTAATTGAGCACCTACTGTAGGTCAGCCACTGAGGTAGAGACACAAAGATGTATGAGACGCAGCCCTGCCCTACAGTTCAGTTCTTTTATAAAAATTTCCTAAACACCTACTGTAGGCCAGGCTTTGTGCTAGGCATCGGCTATTAAAAAGTGATTAGGATAAGATTCTCATCTTGGAGGGTCCAGGGATTAGGTGTTTAGACTGATATCCCTAAAATTGAAGCTTCCTACAAGGACAATGGGAGGAGCCTAGAGCAGCGGTCGCCAACCGGTGACCACAGGTGGTCCATGAGGTCCGAAAGGTTGGCAACCACTGGCCTAGAGTGATCACCAAGACCTGTGCAGACCATGGACAGAGGAAAGATCCAAGTTCTGTTCAGCTCAGGGTGGGGAGCAGGTCATGACTAGGCTAGGGAATGGCACCAAGGGCCCACCTGCAGCAGCCAGCCTCTGGTTTTGCTGATTTCCTGGAACTACCCCTAATGCAATCCTAACCCTTTGCTCTCTCTCCCCCACAGAGTGCCAAGAAACTCATCAAAAGGTCAGTGTCTCCCCAGGGCTGTGATCCACGGCCCTCGCTCCCACCAGGGCCTCCCGCTTTACCTTCAGGCTGCTGGGAGGGTTCCCGCCCAGGCTGGCTTTCCTGGCCTTTGTATCATTCCCTGCTTTCTTGGACCTGTACTTGCCTGTGACTGGAGAGGAAATACTCCACACTCCAGGGGGAGCCTCTAGGTGCAAGGCCTGGGTGTGGGCATGAGCATGTGCACTGGTGTGCTTGGAGCTAGAACACCCCATCCCTGCACTAAACCCCAGAGACCTCACTCCCCCTCATATCTCTTTTTCTCCCCCGACCCCCTCCACCCCACGTCCCCTACAGCATTGTGGAAGCTTCCAAGGGTTGCCAGCTGGGGAAGACAGAGCAGGGCTTTGAAAACATGGACTACTTCACTTTGGATTTAGAGCACATAGCAGACACCCTGAGGACCATCGACTTTGGGACAGGTAAGCGGGGGAGGTGCACTTTTCTATTTCCCTGCTCAACCCCTGGAAATCAGCTTCCCTTCCATTGCATCCCATGTGGAAACAGATACACTAGCAAAGATGCCCAGATATCAACCAACTTCTGGATGAGCTGAGAGCTGAGCACAATGCCTGGTACATAATTGTTGCTCAGTGAATTATCCTTGCAGGGAGGTGTCTTGGCTGTAGGAAGAGCAAGGCATCTGGAGACAGGCATACCCAAGTTTGAATCTGGAGCTGCTGTTTGTTATCTGTGTGACCTTTGGCGAACCCCTCCACCTCTCTGAGCTTCATTTTTCTAACTTTAAAAATTAGGTTAGCCCTAGCCAGTTTGGCTCAGTGGATAGAGCATCAGCCTGTGGCCCAAAGAGTCCCAGGTTCAGTTCTGGTCAAGGGCACATACCTTGGTTGCAGGCTCCTCCCTGGCCCAGGCCTTGGCTGGGGCTCGTGCAGGAAGCAACCAATAGATGTGTTTCTCTCACATAGATGTTTCTCTCTGTCTTTCCCTCTCTTTTCCAGTCTCTCTAAAAATCAATGGAAAAATGTCCTCAGGTGAGGATTAAAAAAAATAAGGTTAGAAGTGGGCCTGCTAATAATGACTACCTCTTGGTGCTATTGCAACAACTACTGTAAGACATTGATAGGAAAGAGTTTATAGAGTCCTAAACATGTACTAGTTAGAGTTAGTGCCTCAAGCCAGCCTTAGCTTCAGCTTTTTCATGCTATCATCTATGAATACTCAGGTACCTTAATTTATCTCTACCCTGTCCTCATTTCTGTTTATAATTACTCTTCCATAGAGTACCTATAATAATTGTAACAATGTAACCATAACAGTAATAAGGGGAAACTGAGGCAACCCAATGAAGAACAAAGATGTTAATAATTAGCTCAAGATCACAGTTGAAAGGTAGCTATTTTGCGATAGAGAAAGAGAGAATGGGATCCAATTCTGCCAAATGTTGCATTGTTCTGATAGGTGATGCTTCAATGACCAGGACAGAGAGGTGTCAGGAATAGGGAAGAATTGTACATGGGCTGGCATGAGAAAGCTTGGCTCTCCCACAAGCTTGCAGAATCTGGTGTTGCATCTATTCTCAGAGCACCAGATGCACCTCGTTTGTGGGTGAGGACAAAAATGCATCCCAAAGCTGAGATGTTGGCAGACTTGGGCATAGCCATTGCTGTAGATCACCTGTTCCGCTCTACCCTCCCGAAGCTAAGATATTCAAGAGGGGATCATGCTGTGCGAACAGCGTGGCTTTGTGAAGACCTGCACTGCCTTCTATCATCTCCCCGAGCCTCAGTTTCCTGAGAGGAAAACGGGGAGAGAACCACACCAACAGCTACCATTTATTAAGCACTTTCTATGTCCCAGTCACTAAGCCCTTGACATAAATTCTATCATTTAGTGCAACTTCATGAGGTAGTTCTGTTGTCATCTCCATTGTGAAAGCCAAGGCAGTGTAAGAGGTCTCCTGGAGGCCACACAGCTAGTAAGTAGCCCACGTGGATGCCAACAAGGGCCATCTGGCTCACAGGGCCCTCATGAGGATTATATGAGACAATGCCTGTCCAGCGCTTAGCACAGTTTTTGGCACATAGTAAGTCCTCCGCAAAGCTGCTATGAGTAGCTGTGCATAGGTCCCAGGTAGGTGGCTGAAATTTTGAGCTGTCATTTTGGAGGCATTGACTCCTTCAAGCCTCTTCCCAGACACTCTGGACAAATACTCTGACTCTGTGGTGACTCCCTCACAGCCCCAAAGGATTAAGGAATGGCTTTGGAGAGGGGGCGGGCAAGAGGCATGTTCCCTGCTGGCAAAGCTTGAAGGTGATATCCCAGGAGAGGAAAGTGAGGACACAGGTTGCAGCTCAGTCAGTCTATCTGGGCTCAGCTTCAGAGAGCCAAGGAGCAGGAGGCCCCAGAAGTGTTCTCACCCCCAGCCACTCCCAGTAGGCTGAGGAATGAGGAAGGATGGACAGGGAGTGCTAGGCTAGCAGATTCCAAAGGCTGGCAAATTCCTTCAAGACAAGGACTCTGATTGCTAAGAATTCAGGTGCTCTTGTCCCATCTCCACGGGTGATGTTTATCTGTCTGAGAGGTGGGCAGAAGTACAGTGTGCCTACCGAAGTCCCCTTTGGTCACAGGCAGATCAGGTGACAGCAGCTGCTGCAGCTGTTGGAACAAAGGAGCCTCTTAAACCTCCCTCCGTGGAGGTACAGGAGGGAAGGGGCGGGAAGAGACAGGAGGAAGCCCGCCTCTGTGCAGCTGGGGTTTGGCAAACCCATCACCTCCTGGGCTACTGATGTCATTGCAGGGCCAGCTGACCCTGAGTGGGCATCAGAAAGGATTGGGATGGCCCTAGTTGGTTTGGCTCAGTGGATAGAGCATTGGCCTGTAGACTAGAGTCCTGGGTTCGATTCTGATCAAGGGCTCATGCCCAGGTTGCAGGCTCAACCCCCAGTGGGGGGCATGCAGGAAGCAGCCAATCAATGATTCTTTCTCATCATTGATGTTTCTATCTCTTCCTCTCCCTTCCTCTCTGAAATCAATTAAAAATATATTTTTTCTTTTTTTAAAGAAAGGATTAGGATCAGTGTTGTCTCCAGCCAGTCCCCCTCTGAGCAGCTCCTCTGAGAAACCAGCCTATCCTAACACTGTTGTTCTTTGTCACACACAGATGAGGAAGAGGAAGAGTTCATTGAAGAAGATCAGGAAGAGGAGGAGTCCACAGAGGGAAAGGAAGAAGGTAAGAAATCCATCTTCATTCATTCATTCAACATGAGATGTTGACTGTGTGCAAAGTGCTGTGCTGAACATTGGGGATGATGCCAATATATGATGATTTTCCCATTATGTGTAAACCTTTTAAGGATAAAGTCCTGCTCCCTATACCCTTAGAGAAAAAACTCCAAACTATTCATAATAAAAAGCTCCCATTTTTAGACCTATATCTAGCCTGGCCAGTGTGGCTCAGTAGTTGAGTGTCGACCTCTGAACCAGTAGGTCACAGTTCGATTCCTGGTCAGGGCACATGCCCGAGTTTCGGGCTCGATCCCCAGTGTGGGGCGTGCAGGAGGCAGCCAAATCAATGATTCTCTCTCATCATTGATGTTTCTCCCTCTCCCTCTCCTTTCCTCTCTGAAATCAATAAAAATATATTATAAAATAAATAAATAAATAAATAAATTAATTAAATGACCTATATCTATATGGAAAGCAGTGTAGCATAACAGACATAAATGACAGAGCACTCATGAGCCAAGCTTGGTCCACTGAGGTATTTTGTTTGGCCAGCACAATGTTTAAAATTTTTTTAAATCAGTTGCCAACATTTAAAAAATGAGGAGATTATTTTAAAGGAGTATTTTATTTTATTATTTATTTATTTTCATGAATCCTCACCCGAGGATATTTTTTCCATTGATTTTTAGAGAGAGTGGAAGGGAGGGCGAGAGATATAGAGAGAAACATCGATTGGTTGCCTTCCACATGCACCCTAACCTGGGATTGAACCCATAACCTTGGTATGTTCCCTGACTGGGAATTGAACCCACCACCTTTTTTTAAAAAAAATTATTTATTGTTGAAAGTATTACATATGTCCCCCCCCCCATTGTCCTCTCCCAGCCTGCCCCTGCCCCCCAAACCCACCACCTTTTGATGTACGGGAGGACCCTTCAACCAACTGAGCCACACCAGCCAGGGCTTAAAGGATTTTTTAAAAGGAGATTTCAAGGCAGGGGAGGGTTGGTGGGTGGGATGAGATCAACCAGTGAACTTGTATGCAGACATGCATAACCCATGGACACAGACAGTAAGGTGGTGAAGGACTGGGCTGGGGGTGGGGATGGGCTAGAAGAGATCAATAGAGGAAAAAAGGGGACAAATGTAATGCTTTCAACAATAAAGTTTTTTTTTAAAGAAATTTCAACTGAGAATCTGGATTTCCACCTTCTTGTACAATTTTGGGAAGAGCTAACAATGTTGGGCTTGCCCTTCTCTCTCTTTCTACGAGTTGGCGCTGGGCGGTGGCTGCCCCCTTTGCATGGGACGTGTACTTCCCATTTTTCCCAGACCCACCACTGTCAGCCTTCCTGCTCTTATGCGTGTCATCTGCTGGCCCCTGTCGGCATCTGAGTTTGCCAACCTGGAAGACTACAGTTACGAGTTCTGAATTGCCGCTTTCTCACAGACTGGTGGTGTGATCTTGGGTAGATCACCACTTTTCTGGGCTACTCATTTAGGCATGTGGGCATAATAGTACTGACCTCAAAAGATTATAATGGAGAGTACATTAGAGAATGTTTCCTAATGTTACTATTATTATTTTTAAACATATTTTTATTGATTTTTTTTAAACATATTTTTATTGATTTTTTTTTTTTTAGAGAGAGAGAAGAAGGGAAAGGGAGATAGAAACATCAATGAGAGAGGACATGACATCGATTGGCTGTTTCCCACATGCCCCTCACCAGATAGCAGATATCGAGCTGTAACCCATGTGCCCTGACTGGGAAATTGAACTGGTGACTTCTTGATGCCTGGGTGGATGTTCAACTACTAAGCCACACCGGCTGGGCTAATCTAATTATTTTAAAAGCCAAGTTATTATTGGAACTAAATTCCAATCCAGTTGAAACATACAGAGTAGTCTTTTGGTATTTTGTATTTTGAATGTGCAATCCAATTTTGTTTTGGCAACTAAATTCTATTTTTCTTTAAAACGAAAGAGTCGCCCTGGCCAGTTTGGCTCAGTGGATAGAGCGTCAGCCTGTGGGCTGAAGGGTCTCAGGTTTGATTCCAGTCAAGGGCACGTGCGCTGGTTGTGGGCTTGATCCCCAGTAGGGGGTGTGTAGGGGCAGCCAATTGATTGATGATTCTCTCTCATCATTGATGTGTTTATATATCCTTCTCCCTTTCTCTCTGAAATCAATAAAAAATATATTATAAAGAAAAGGAAGAGGCCAGGCAGGAATTGGAGTTTGATCATTTTGTCACTACAGCTTATCCCTGAGTCCCCGTCTCACTTTGTGTTTCTTTTTCTTTTTCTTTCAGGACATCAGTAAGGAGTTGGATGAGGAAGAGACCTCTAGATGCAGAGAGACTGGGAAGGGTGGGATGGGCCCAGCTGCCTTGGTGACAGGCCCAGGGTGGGAGGGGTCGGGGCCCCTGCAGGGACAATGGGGAGGTGTGTCTTCTCTCTGCTTGAAGAGCAGGGACTAGGAGTAGGACCCCCACCGCTGTGTCCAGCAGTCACTGAAGCAGAGTTGGAAATGTGCTTGAAACAACCACACAGGATACTTTTCTACATTGGTGCAAAATGGAATATTTTGTACATTTTTAAAATGTGATTTTTGTATATACTTGTATATGTATGCCAATTTGGTGCTTTTTGTAAAGGAACTTTTGTATGATAATGCCCGGTCATTGTGTGACTGGCGATTGTTAGATAGAGGGTAATGTACTGTATTTCAGTGTCTATCCCTGACAGAGGGGATGGTAACTGAGTTTGTTATATGTTGTTTTAATAAATGCACAGTGCTCTCTTCCTGTTATTGCCAAAGGAGTTGGGGTTTCATTCAGCCTTTTTTTCTGGAGACTTCAGATGGACAGAGGCCTGATAGGAAGTGTGTGGCAGGAGGGAGCCAGTAATGGCAAGGCTAGGCTTCTGTCCCACCAAAGAAGAGCTCTTTACGCCAGCATTTCCCAATGAGAGCTCCATGGAAAACTGGCCCTGAGATGATCCTCAAGACACAGGGGTAATGCCCTGCTCTCGGGCTCTCTGGAAAACAGAACGTGGGGCAAAACTTCAATGTTTTAGTCTAGATACAATCCCAGGGCAGTCAGATGAGGGAAAGTGGAGGCAAGGCAGGATAGGAGAGAAGCAAAGTGTCGGAGAGACCCGGCTCTTTGCTCCGTCACGTGAGATATTTCTGGCCGGTCATGAAGAACACAGCCACCCCAAAGCAGTTCCTCAGAGGGAAGAAGGGAGATTTTTTATCTGCTGGCTCCTTTCATCTCTTGTCTCAGAATTGAAGTTTGTCTCCCGGAGTGTTAATTTTCTTATACTTCCAGGCTGCATCACTTGGCCCCTTTTGGCAGCTGCTGGGGAAGCTAAACTAGATGGCACACCAACAATTGACTATGTGGGTAGTGGGAGGAGTAGACCCTCTGTGGTCCAGAGGGCTGGGCATGGGTGCTGGAGTTGCACAATGGATGCTCTGCTGGTTCCCAAATTTACTCCAGGGAAGGTCAAGACAGCCACCAGTTCTAGGAGATGAGGCGATGGCCAAGGCCAAAGTAGCACCAAGGCTTTCCATGAACAAGGAACCAAGGGGCTGCGAGAGAGATGAAACTGACTGAATCAAAGATGGTGCATAGAGCATCGGCCTGCGGACTGAAGGGTCCCAGGTTCGATTCCGGTCAAGGGCATGTATCTTGGTTGCGGGCACATCCCCAGTAGGAGGTGTGCAGGAGGCAGCTGATGGATGTTTTTCTCTCGATGTTTCTAACTCTCTATCCCTTTCCCTTCCTCTCTGTAAAAAATCAATAAAATATTTTTTAAAAAGATGGTGCATTAATTGGGTCTGAGACACCTTGGACTTATAAATCTGAGGAACCCTGCAGAGTCTGTCCCACCTTTTCGACATTCAGAACGCAGTAGAAAGTTAAGGGCTCTGAGTTATCCTGCCATAAACAAAGCGATTTGACTTTAGACAATGACTGGCCCATCAGGTTTATGGTGTTTGGAATACTGCTTGATCTTTAAGGCTCTTAATAGTTTTTTGTTGTTTTTTTAAAATATATTTTTATTGATTTCAGAAAGGAAGGGAGGAGAGAGAGAGATAGAAACATCAATGATGAGAGTCATTGATCGGCTGCCTCCTAAACGCCCCCCCACTGGGGATCAAGCCCGCAACCCCGGGCATGTGCTCTTCACCGGAATCAAACCCGGGACACTTCAGTCTGCAGGCTGACGCTCTATCCACTGAGCCAAACGAGCTAGGGCAGGCTCGTAAGTTTTTGGTGGATTGAATATTTAACCAGCTAGGGCTGTTCTGAATTTTTAAAAAATTTATCCATTTCCCAATTTATCTATTTATGTGACATCCTCCAGAACTAATGTTCTGTGGAACTCATTTTATGAAAGTGCTTGAAACCCTCACACCTTGGCCCACTTTCACTTCTGGTTTTTCCAAGGCTAACTCAGTCCCTAACTTTGAATTTCAGGGAATCAGATTTTTGTTCTCAATTCTAGTTCTTTCCCAAGTTCTGAAGCATTTTTTTCTTGTTAATCCTCACCCGAGGATATTTTTCCATTGATTTTTATTTATTTTTTAAAATATATTTTTATCAATTTCAGAGAGGAAACAAGGAGAGAGATAAAAACATCAATGATGAGAGAATCATTGATTGCCTGCCTCCTGCACGCCCTCTACTGGGGATCGAGTCTGCAACCCAGGCATGTGCCCTGACCAGGAATGGAACCCTGGTTCATAGGTTGATGCTCAAGCACCGAGTCATGCCCGCCAGGCCCATTGAAGGGAGGGAGACAGAGAGAGAGAAACATCAATGTGAGACACGTTGATTGGTTGCCTCCCACACTCACCTGACCAGGGCTGCAGATCCAGCTTGCCACCAAAGTACGCGTGCCCTTCAGTCCGAGGGCTGACACTCTATCCACTGAGCTAAACCAGCTAGGGCTGTTCTGAATCATTTTTTTAAATTTCTTTTAAAATTGTGTAATATATTACAGACATACAAATATACAAAACCAGTTATAGAGTTTAGTAAACTATTGTAAAATGAATTCTTGTGTTGCTATTATGCAGGTCAAGAAGTAGCCACTATCCTGTCTTTTTTGATAATCACACACTTAAATTTCTTTATAGTTTTACTTTCTTTTTTAAAATATATTTTTATTGATTTCAGAGCGAAAAGGAGAGGGAGAGAAACATCAATGATGAGAGAGAATCATTGATAGGCTACCTCCTGCACACCCCCTACTGGGGGTTGAGCCTGCAACCCAGGCATGTGCCCTTGACAGGAATTGAACCCAGGACCCTTCAGTCTGTTCTGTTCACTGAACCAAACCAGCTAAGGTTATAGGTTTACACGCTAAAGCAGCGGTTCTCAACCTGTGGGTCACGACCCCCTTGGGGGTGGAACGACCCTTTCACAGGGGTCGCCTAAGACCATCAGAAAACACATATATAATTACATATTGTTTTTGTGATTAATCACTATGCCTTAATTATGTTCAATTTGTAACAATGAAAATACATCCTGCATATCAGATATTTACATTACGATTCATAACAGTAGCAAAATGACAGTTATGAAGTAGCAATGAAAATAATTTTATGGTTGTGGGTCACCACAACATGAGGAACTGTATGAAAGGGTCGCGGCATTAGGAAGGTTGAGAACCACTGCTCTAAAGTATCCTCACATAGTTCTGTCTAGTGTGGCTCAGTTGGTTGGGAGTCAACCGGTGCACCAAAAGGTTGCTGGTTCGATTCCCCCTCAGGGCACGTGCCCAGACTTGGGGGTTCGATTCCCTGGTAGGGGTGTGCTGGTGGCAGCCCATCAACTCACATATTTCTCTCCCCCCCCTCCTTTCCTCTCTCTCTCAAATTCAATAAAAATATTTAAAAATAAAAAAGTAGCCTTAGCCGGGTTGGCTCAGTGGATAGAGCATCGGACTGCGGACTGAAGGGTTCCGGGTTGGATACCAGTCAAGGGCAGTACCTTGGTTGCTGGATCCTCCCGGGCCGTGTGGACCCTGGTCAGGGCGTGTACAGGAGGCAATCAATATTTCTCTCTGTCTTCCCTCTCTCTTCCACTCTCTCTAAGAAATCAATGGAAAAATATCGTCGGGTGAGGATTAAAAACAAAAACAATAAAAGGACAGTATCCCTCCACAGAAGACATGAGGAATTTGAAGGCCGTAAACCGAGGGGCGCACACCCCGCAGCGTTCCTAACTTGTGCGCTCCGGCAACCGCTAAAAGATAAGAGAAAATATCGAGCTTTGTTTTTATGGTGTAATTTGGGAATCTCTTAGGATCGACCATTTCCTAATTTGTTTGATCCCTTTCACACTTTTTACCCCAGTGTCTCCACACCCCTCTCGGGAGACAGAAAAAGATTTGGTTTT